CAGTCTGGGTCCTGGACAGCGTGCAGCCAGCTTGCCGGGTCTGCCCTGCGCTGCGCGAGGCTTCCCGGGGGTCAGCACCCAGGACAGGCCATGGGTGGGCGGGGGGACAAGAGCGTGTCCACAGGCTCCTCCCTGCATACGGGGTTTCCATGAAGATGCCAGAGGTCACCCACCCGAAGAGAGCATGACCTTGGAGGATGACACCCCCTGAAAGTCCAGGAGGCCTGGCCTGCTGTCAAAGGCCTGGGGGAGGGGTCCCGTGGGCCGGCTGGGGCTGTGGAGGGGAGAGCTGAGGACCAGTAAAGGTCTCAGAGACGTTCCGGAACCTTCTGGAAAGAGCTGTGCACAAGGAGGTCCCATCCCTTCCTGTCTGTAAAGCGAAGACTGGCCCCGCCCTTCTCCCCAGGCTGCTGGGCCGGGAGAGCGTGGAGTCCCTCTGCCGCCAACCCCCACACCAAGCAACATGGATTTCCCCCGAGAGAATGGCCAGAGCTAAGCTTCTGGCCTCGGTTCATCCACTCACAACGCAGATGCTCTCCGCACAGGCCTGTGTGTCCCGATCCTCCTCTCACTGCATGTGGCCCCCTCACGGCCGGGTCCGGGGGCCCTGCCCCTGGTGCCCTTGCCCAGCGCCCTGGTCGTAGCTACCCTGCTCCCAGGAGTCCTGGCGCTCTCTCCACAGCCTGCCCTCTGCCCCGCCCAGGCTCACGGCTCCCTGTCCCACTGTCCACTCACAGCTCCTGTTGGGGCCTCGTGAACACCCCTGGCTTCAAGGCCGAGCCAGATGGCCAGCCCCAGGCTCTACCCCATGGGGAATGGCACCACCTCCCCCAATCGTCCAGGTCAGACCCTCCGAGTCACCTTTTCTGCTTGTCCCTCCCTCTCCCTTCTGACCCATCACCATCATGGCATTCTCCCTGCCCCACCCATGCCCGCCCTGACAGCCCGAGTGTGAGCCCATCTCCGCCTGGGTCTCCCCTCCCCCCCCCAGTCAGTTCTCCCAACCCCAGCAGGTGTGACCCCAGAATCCCGACAATGGCGAGTGACACCCACACCCCTGACAGGGTTACAGGAACCACCACCGGTTTTCTCTCCAGCCACCGGCGCTCCCCGAGGCTCCGAGGCTCCTGCCACCCCATCCCCCACACCTACTGTGTTCCCCGTTCTCTCCAGCTGAGGTGCTCCGTGCCACGCATCTGGGTAAGTCTCAATGCCACCTCCCCTGGCTCCTCATTCAGCGGTTCCCCAGGCACAGCGCCCCTCCCGCCCCACCAGGCCTGCTCTGTCCAACAGCTTCTCTGCCGGCTCTCGCTTCTGAGCATTTCCTGCTTGCCTTCCCACCCAGAGCCTGAGCTCTGACGGCCGGGCTCTGCCCACGGTGCGTTCCCGAGCCCAGAGCAGGGCCGGCACGAAGCAGGCACTCTGGCTCACCTGCCGAATGCTGAGGGTGGGGGACAGCCAGCTGCCCCAGGGCCCGGGCCACCAGCCTGCCCGGGGCGCTGACCTGGGCTGGGGAGGTGGTGCCAGGCAGCGTCTCCTCCCTGCTGACTCAGCTCTCAGGACCCCCCTCACCCCCCGCCCCTGCTCCCTCCAGGTGTGTCTTCCTGGGGGACGGACAGACGGAAGAAGAGGGGAGGAGGGGCATGGGAGGAGGAGGTGTCCACCCAGCACC